CAGAGTTGGACACTTAACCCGCTGAGATAGCGGAATTCTTATATAGTGCTGATCATACACCAGACCCTGTTTTGTTTCACCCGTGCTCATTTACTACTCAATATAATTAGGTACTATTACTAGCCTCACTTTACAGGTGAGGTAACTGAAGTATGGAAAATTTAAGTATCTTGCCCAAGAAAACACAGAAAATAGTAGACTCAAAATCTGATCCCAGCCAGTCTTGTTTTCGTCTCCAGATGCAGGTCCTGGACGGTTCCAAGAGCTGGTATTTTATTTTCTGACTAACAGGATATAAATGGGGATAGATAGAGTGAAGGTAAAGTAATGTAAGCTTTGTATAATTTATAGCAGGATTTGGGATGTGAGTAGTGTAAGTTGGTGTAGAAAAGATGATTAGGAATGAAGTATGTAATAACTGGAGAGTCACTGGGAAAAAACACTAAATGTGTTCACAGTGTCTAGCTGTGAGACGATCGGTATATAATCAGCACCTCTTACTGAAAGCGAAGTGCAGTATCAAAATCTCCGTTTTTATGGGGCGCCTGGGTGGCTCAGTCGGTTAAACGTCCGACTTCGGCTCAGGTCACGATCTCACGATCCCTGGGCTCGAACCCCGCGTCGGGCTCTGTGCTGACAGCTCAGAGCCTGGAGCCTGTTTCAGATTCTGTGTCTCCCTCTCTCTCTGACCCTCCCCTGCTCACACTGTCTCTCTCTCTGTCTCAGAAATAAAACATTACAAAAAAAATTTTTTTTTAATCTCCATCTTTAGTAACAGGATGCTAAATAGAAAATAGAGACATTTGAGGGGCACCTGGGAGACATTTGAGGGGCGCTCGGGTGGCTTAGTCGGTTAAGCGTCCGACTTTCGTTAGGTCATGATTTCGCGGTTCATGGGTTCGAGCCCCGCATCGGGCTCTGTGCTGACTGCCGGCTCAGAGCCTGGAGCCTGCTTCAGAGTCTGTGACTCCCTCTCTCTCTGACCCTCCCCTGCTCACGCTATCTCTCTCTCTCTCTCTCTCCTAGAAATAAATAAAACATTTTTAAAAAATTAAAAAAAAATAAAAGAAAATAGAGACGTTTGAAATATGCCCCCCCCCCCCCACTCTTTTTAAAGTATCGTGGAGATGGGAACTAATTATAATTGACAGCCACTAACCTCCGGGTTAAAATAAGATGACTAAGTTAACATTTTCATTCTTAGGAAGGATATTAAAAGAATTACAAATGGAGGCTTCTTTGCAGTGGCTTTTGATAACCTGCTTAAAACTGCTCTAAGCCCTATATTCTATAAGGTGGTTTATTAGTTGTATTTATTTTCTGTTCTTCTCAAATCTCTAAGACCATATGAGTTCAATTAGAGTCACTCCAAAATATCTGGAAATTAAATCTATTATTATTAACTCCAAAACATCAAGATTAAATGGCTCAGTAATCTGATTGGGCATCTTTTTATTCCTTCACATACTTTTTTTTTTTAATGAAGACAAAATTAATTGAGCTGATTATACCATAAGCAATTAGGATTAGATTACAAGGAAGATTATAAGTTTATTTTCAGGAATTTTAGCCTGACCTATTAATATACTTATAGTATCCTCTGGCCATCACTGCTTCTATAATATTTTTTCTGCCAGTGCTAAATCTCATAAAGAGCTCATAACATTGGAAATTAGCTTTTCTTACAAAATCACAGTTATAGATTATTTTGTTAAGCATCTAGCATCTGCATTGCTGTGTCTGCAATTTCTTCATGTTTATATGTGGAACATTTTAAAGGAGTATACCATTCCTAATTGCAAAGCAGTTATAATCTGTGTTAACCAGAGCTTTCAAACTCTTTTAAGTTATATGGGGAAATATGACATTTCTAACCCATGTTCTGTTTTGTCTTGACCTTTAAGTATAAATTGAAATGCACATAAGATGTACTTTGTCCAGTTGACAACATCAGTAACAAAATACTTCAGGTAGGAATATCTTAGATAAATCCCATTTACATGACCAATATCTCATTGAGTGGTAGGCAGACTTTTTTTGAAAGGTATACAAAGGAATATTAACATACAAAAAAAAAAAAAAACTATTAACTTCGTAGGCTAATGCTTTACTGCCTCCATGTCTTGAACCCAAAGATATCAGAGCCCCTTTCCTTCCTCTATCGTATATTATAGCTGTGGAGCCTTGAGCGGGATTTTACATTCTGGGAGAAAGCCTTGGGTTTTTCATCTGAAAAGGGCAATAACCATATTTGCTTTCTCAGTTGAATGTAACAAGTAAATGTAATCATACATTCTTAGCATTAGCACATGGTAAATACTTTATAGGTGGTGGCTATATTAGTTATCTATACTCCAAACATCGAGGTGAAGCTTTATATACTTCATTTGTACTCTTTAACACAAAGTTATAAAAGATACACTTATATTAAAAGATAAGAAAGGGGCGTCTGGGTGGCTCTGTCAGTTGAGTGTCCACTTCAGCTCAGGTCATGATCTCAAGGTCTGTGGGTTCAAGCCCTACGTCAGGCTCTGTGCTGATAGCTTGGTTCTTGGAGCCTGCTTCAGATTCTGTGTCTCCCTCCCTCTCTCTCTCTCTGCCCCTCCCCTACTCATGCTCTGTCTCTCTCAAAAATAAACATTAAAAATATTTTTTAAGAAAAGATAAAAATGAAGGTTCATCTTCGATATCATAAGTGGAAGGTTGATTTGAACCCTGTTCATTGCAATATGCCACTTTGCCTCTCATATATTTCTTATTTTAACATCCCTAAAACCTAGTGATGTAGCTGTTTTATCTTACCTACACAGAATTGACTCCAAGAAAATAGGCATTGGGTAGGTGATAGCATCAGGGCTTAGGCCTAGATCCCCAGGCTCTTGGTTCAATGCTTTTGAATTGAATTGAATTGAACTACCCTGAATTTATTACTCTATAAACAAAAATTATTAAACTTCAAGGCTTCTGAAGGTAAGACTGACATAACTTTAGACGACAATAAGTTTTTATTTGGGGAGCTTGGCTGACTCAGTCAGTAGAGCATGTGACTCTTGATCTCTGGGTTGTGAGGTCAAGCCCCAAATTGGACATAGAACTTACTTTTAAAAAACATGTTTTTTGATATTGAATACAATTTGGGGACTGGTTAGAAAGTTAAAGCAGAATTGTAGACAATATGGAGTTGAAAGACTATTTCCAATTAAGTTGGATTTAGAGAAAAAAAGAGTTTAGTATCCGCTAGAACACTAGAGTATTTGGTGACTTTATTTATTTTTATGTGCTATTTTATTATTAGCTTATTAGTTCAAATTACTTTCAACAGTAATATATATTGAAAGTTTTGAGCAGTAATCAGATATATCCTACATGCTATTTTATGTTATTTCGCACAAAAGATAAGTATCTAATTTGGCTAATTCTGTCCAACAGAAGAAATATTTCCTTTTATTCAACATATTTTAATGATTAGGATAACCTACAAAAGTCATTTATTCAAACCCTACTTTTTAAGCACAATATTTAAAGTTTATAGTTTGCAACTGATAAAAAGAAGATATATACTTAAGGTTCAAACTCAGATGTTCATTGTATCCAATAGCCTTGACCACAAACTCCAGGATTTCAAGATCAGCGCTTAGTCTGTACTTTCAATCAACATCATCAGCAGGCAGTAATCCTGGGGAAAAAAAAGTAAATTCCACAAATAAACAGACCAATCTTCCTTTAAGAGGAAAGCTAATTCTTTTCAATCTACTTTTTTTATTACACTATTTTCCCCTCTATCTACTTAGCTAGAATAAGGATAAATTTCCAAAGCTACCCAGTTGGAAAATAAATAGGTTCACTGTCTAGCATTCCAATCTTTGCAAATGTAAATCAGTCCAACTGCTCCTCATTTAAACCTTCAACTTCACAAAACATTAAAGGGTTGCTTTCACTACACAATTTAATCTATCCACTAAGATTTCTGCTTGAACATCATTCGAAATTGACTATCTGATAAAGAGAGACCACTATCAAAGGTCAGCAAGGTCAACTTGTATAATTACAAGTAGTTTTACTGGGTCAACTCCACTAGACACTGCTGTTTGAAGGTTAAATTGTTACAATTAAAAATATATACAGATCTCCCCAGAGTTACTTTATTGTTAATGTACTGGAAACAGCACAAGCATTTATTTCTGACCTTAATTGTATCCAAAGTGTCACCACTGGGAAATTATACAAAAAGAGCACTTATTAAAAACATTACAATCTTGCACATTAAACAATGCTTTATAGAATAAAATACGTAATTAGCTACTGGAAACTAGTTTATTTATCACATCAATATTAAGAAGTTCATTCAGGTTACTCCCTTTGGTTTAATTGGAAGTGCTCTGAGAAGTGACATTTAATATTTCATAGCTGGTGAACTTGCCACAAACAAAAGAATATGGCCCGGCATCAGAGTCCGATGCTAAAACAACTTTTACTTCAGAACAATCACTTCCAAATTACTAGCATTTAATCACATTTTAATAACAGAGTGGAAGGAAGCCTTAAATGGAAAACTTTAAAACGGGCTACTGTCTAATTGTGTGATACATTTTAATGCCTTTTACCTTTTTTAATAAAGTGAATACATGGCCAATGATGAAATCTTCCATAATCACTCCAGTGAAATATTATTATCATTCTTTTTTTCTTTTAATGACTGTAAATATAGATCAATTATTTTTTTTCTTTCCAAAGTGGCAATAAAAATCATCTCTGCTGCCCAAGGCATTTTCCTTATTTTTCCTATGCCTTTTATATATAAATGTAGGATTTCAAATTTTATGCAGTGTTTCATTAAATGACCAACATGCTTTAGTTTTGACAGTAAAGGCAATTTTCTAAACCAAGCTTTCAAACTCGGGGAACTACTGTGTGAAAATACTATGAGGAAATGAAATCTTCAAATCTATGGATCTGAGTGAAATGATCTTAATGCATTTTATTTTTTAAAATATTTTCAGATTTTGCGTCGGAGACAAATTTTTCCTAAAGAATAACATGATCCTTTGCCAGACGGACTACGAGGAAGGTTTAATGAAAGAAGGTTATGCCCCCCAGGTTCGCTGATCTATCAACATCACCCCATTAAGAATACAAAGCACTACATTCTTTTATCTTTTTTGCTCCACGTGTATATAAGAATTGACACAGGAACCTACTGAATAGCGTAGATATAGGAAAGCAGGATGGTTATATGGAATAAAAGGCGGACTGCGTCTGTATGTAGTGAAATTGCCCCAGTTCAGAGTTGAATGTTTATTATTAAAGAAAAAAGTAATGTACATATTGCTGGATTTTTTTGCTTGCTATTCGTTTTTGTGTCACTTGGCATGAGATGTTTATTTTCTTCGACTATTGTATATAATGTATTGTAATATTTGAAGCACAAATGTAATACAGTTTTATTGTGTTACCATTTGTGTTCTGTTTGCTTCTTTGTATTGTTGCATTTAGTACAATCAGTGTTTAAACTTACTGTATATTTATGCTTTCTGTATCTACCAGCTATTTTAAATGAGCTGTAACTTTCTAGTAAAGAATTGAAGAGCAAATCTCACTAATGATACACATATAGATAAAGCAAGTCTATCAACATTAAAATACTAAAAAAAAAAAAAAAATGAAGACACACACAAAGCATTTTAGCAACATCCACTATTATTGCCGCTATGATTTAGAGTCTATCAGTGTTCTCATTATAACCCCCTATTTTCAGGGGGTTAAAGATCAGCTTTAAAAAATGCATAAAAATTTCATCTTAAAGCACTTTCATTTTATACCAACGTGAAAAGTGCCATTTTTAGAATAACTTTAAAGCTTAGCAGTTATCCTTTTAATATCCTTTTTTTTTTTTTTTTTTGGCATGCTCTTTAGCTACACAATGGCTTTGTTTTATTTTTTTTTTCAGCCATTTACCCCTTATGTAAACTAGTGCCTTTGGGTATCATGTAAAATTTTTCCAAAGGGTTACTTTAGAAGAGTGTTACACCACAATTATGAGATAATTTTAAAATGATAAATTTCTTGTACAAATTTTGCCCAGATGTCTCCATAAGAGCTTAGGATTTAATAACTTATGGGTTGATAAATTTCTGGCACTGAAAGGAATTGAGTGCAAATCTACTGAAACCATGATAATGCACATGGCAGTTATGATATTTGAGAAGTGAGGTTACTTTTGATCAGAGCAACATAGTGCTCACAGAATCTTCTAGAAGAAGAGAAACAAAGGGATTGTTAAAAAGCTGAGGACTGGTGATTATATATTTTTCTGTATTTACCTGACACTTATTTTAATGTTCACAACTGCAGACTTTAAAAGTTTGACGTGTCTTACTCTTATACTGCTTTCTTTATGTAGTTACTGGCTCAGAATATATCACACTTAAGGCTGAGATCTGTCATTCCATTTTTCAAAGGTGAAAAATTATTCCCTTACCAACATAATAGCTGATAAAGAGAAAGCTTTCTAGAAACAAATTATGGAGACCGATTATTTAAATTACAATTAAGGGAATAAAAATAAGACTATGTTCTCTTCTCCGGCTGACACTTTGCTTCTTTGCTACCGCTCCCTGGAATTGAACACCATTTTGACAAATCTAATTCCGCACAGGCACAGTGAAGCATATTTTTACTAGAGCAAATTTAGTGCTATGGGTTTTCTTTTTTCTCTACTTTTTTCTTGATCACTTGTATAGGAAACAATATTTCCCGGTGTTATTTGCATACATATTTTGTCCTGCCAATATATGCATTGCCGATAAAAATTAAATGTGATACCTGGGTTCTTGGTTTGGGGCCAAAATATTAAACTGAAAATAATGCTGGTGTGGATTTGAGTTGTTTTAAAACACAAAGCTTTATTATGAACATGCATGTGAATCTGGTTATTGCCTCTCATTTTTAAGAAAATGGTCCTGTGAAAAGTGAATGATATGTATTTTTACCAATACTTCATGGTTAAGAGTGTTCAAGTCACATGTCCCCCAGATTTGAGATATACCGAAAAAAAGAATTGCAGAAATAGCTGTTTGGGGCCCACAAAATATTATTTTAGCCTTAGACCTTACATTTGTTTCACGATAAGACTTGCATAGCCAAAACCACAATCAAAATCAAACAAATGGATGGGGGGCGGGGGGGAAGGGGATTTGTGAAAAGTGGTTTTCTTAAGCAACCCTGTTAGCTAGTCCCCATTGAGAGGTGTCTGAAATTCATGTGGATGTAAAATTTTAATTGCCAGTATCTTTTTCAAATGATCTTTTTTAGATTTAAATGGTTTTGCATATGTTTATCAATATGTCAAAATACTTGTAAATTGGGAACAAACTTCTCTTAGCTTCTGGAAGCTGTTCAGTTATCCTCGCCACCCACAGACCAAACAAGTTTTTTATTGCCTTTTCTTTTCCGAAATCTCCCGGGAATTAATTCTTAGGCTTTTTACTATGAACAAAATTACTCACCTGGATTAAAGATTAAGGCCTTAATCTCCTTAGATTATCTTTAATCTCCATGAAATTGTGAAACCAGACAGAAATGGGCCATTTTATAGCTAATTGCCCATAAACAGTAGCATTTTTGACCTGAAGTACTAAGCTAATTGTCTTGCCTACGCAAAGTCCCCCGAATTGTTGTCAACTCACCTCTTTGTGTCGCGTGGCCTGGACGTCACTTAGCTCCTTATCCGGCACCTCCAGTAGGACACCTCCAAAGGAGCTTTGATTTCTCCAGCAAGCTCCCTTCCTACCCTGCGTCTCCTAGGGGCTGCCTGCCATGAAGGACCAGGCATCTCCACTCCACCAGAGTGCTGGCTGAGTTTAAAAGCTGACCTGTGTTTGTAATTTCACTTTCATCTTGCTTAATAAATATCTGCTGGATTCTTTCATTCACTTTTTTTTAATATTTGGATTTATGTTTTTAATAAAAGGGGCCTTATACTATTTGATTGCGCTTAATTGGCAAAAGCGAAGATACTATCTAGAAAGCGGAAGTGGAGTCCATGAAAAAAGAATGAAGTGTGTCAGGACATTTACTTTCGAAAGGGAAATCAGAGCATAAAGTATGGACAAAGTACCTCAGACGCTTTCTCCAAATGTTATATTTAGACTCTCTGAGCTAGATAGTTTATTGCTATTTACTTTTGTGGGGAAAATAATAAAACTGTCAAAAGTGAAGGTAGCAATTGCCGGGTGTAATTTGGTACATTTATACAAATTTCAAGGGATCTTCCTGAAAGCAATAGTGTTGCTGTTGTCAGACTAAATTTCAAACTTCCTATTTTGCGTATAATGAATTAAAACAAAACAAAACAAAACCCCTCAACTAAATCCTGCATTTTCAAGGAAGAGATGTGCCTTAAATGAAACTGGGTGTTGAAAATTATGTCTGTAGTAAAACATATTGTGCACAAGTGGTTTCCTTTTAACTCTCACATTAGGCAAGCCACTCTCAGAATAGTCACTTAAATAATTTCATAGAAATGATACAGGCCAAACATGTTTAACGCTCACTTCAGTAAGTTGCAAAAACAATCTGTTTGTTTGTTGTAATAGGCCATTAACGCAGAATACAATTTTAGCAAAAGTCTTCTGATGACTCCTTTTTCTTAAAAACACCATTATAGATATTTCTTAAATGTGATTGTAATGCAAGTTAAGGTAATAGAGAGCAAACCGTTAATATAGCCATTATTTCGATTGACATCTATTGAGTACCTACTCTATGACAGGCCTTGACCTGAGCATTCTGCCTCCTATTGCGCTGACTTAGGATCCTTCATATGTCAGAAAACTTAAGTGTATCTTCGCCCTGGTTTATACTTCTCTCAAACCTCCTAATAATGAACACACAAAAGCGAATACCATCTGCCTTTTCAGCATGTCATTGGTATGAAGGCCCCAGAAAATATCTCAAGTAATCAATGTGTTCAGAGAATTATCTCTCACAAATTACTCATTAACTCAATAGCACATAATAAGAAAGAACATCAATTAATTAATGAGTCACCCTCAGATCACTAGGATTACAATGGAGCTCTGTTGAAACAGCGGTTATAAATGGAGCTGCCTCTCTTTATTCATTGTTTGCAATTGGCCCATTATTTGGCTCAAACCAGTGTCACATTTAACACATGCCTGTAGGTAATTGTGTGATTAGTATCATAAATGAAGAATTCAGAAAGTGTAATGCTTATAAGACCTTATAAGCGGTCAGAAAAATAAAGGCAACTGTTACTTGTACTACGGCTACCTTTGAGGCCAAGCTATTAGAAGGGTATTATCTATCTAAAAGGCGTACATTTACATTCAAAAGACTTCCATGTTGAAATGCTAAGACGTTTAAAGGTAAAATCTTAAATGCTTTAGATCCACAGAACGTAATTTCGGTAACTTTTTACAAAGACTGAAATATGCATGACCAGTAAAAGTTGTAAAAGTTGTGGTACCCCCAAAAGGACATTTTAGTTTTTGGAGGGCCTGGTTGGGGAGGGTGTGCAGAGACTGACAGCAAAGGGGAAGCGATTATAAGAAATACCAGATCTTACAAAGTCACCAACTAAAGTTTCCCAACTATCTTGGTAAATGCCATTCCAATAAGCTTATAGAATAATTATAACAGTTCCCTTAGGTAAGTAAGAAACATCTGTTGGTAACACACAGCAGGTGTTAACAATTACACATACTGAAATTTTTAAAAACGTTTTTAATTAAAAGAATTCTGTTTTCTGAAAAGAAGGAAATGTTAAATTCAAAGATCCTCCTGTTTTGAGTGTGCAGACCACGTAATGCACAAAATTGTAAAGCCCAAATCATCTTGGATCAACTAGGTTTCGTGTTTGGTTCAGATCACTGCAATCAAAAGTGAATTGGAATTCATTGCATTTTTCACACAATTGGTATTCTGGGCTTGAGGAGCTGAATACTCACGAAATTGGTACAGGAGAGCTGATTACAGAATATTTTGGGTTTATGGGCAAGGTGGTTGCCATTAACCGTACCAGATTTAACGGACACAGTACAAAGACAAAGGAGAACAGAAACATTCAGAAAATAGACTTTCCGCATCTCTTCTGCAGAAGACTTCAAATCACCTAAAACAGTCCATATGTGACATTATCATATGACTCATCTTCAATAGCTCTTAATAATAGCTAACATTGATGGCACACGTACCACGAAGCAGGCAGTTTTCCACGCCCAAGTAATTCCCACAACACCCTTGTAACATAGGTACTATGGACCTCAATTTTACAGGTTTTAAATAAAAACAGAGAGTCTGC